CCCCCCCCGGGGGGGGGGGGCTAATATTTGGAGGGGCGATTTAACAGAGGGTTTTTTGCGTTACGATTTTAGGGGGCTTATACATGGAGGGGCTTATTTTCGGAATTTTTAGGGTACTCTCCAATCTGCCATACTTGATAATAATTGTATCTTCTTTGTATTCATTGACAATTACTCTATAGTACTAAAATGTGGTTTATGAAGTGAATTGACAAGGTGGCTACCGCAAAGAGATCCGAAGACAGACGAATTCAAAACTGTGAACAGTCCATCAAGGCTGGGTTGTTCAAAGCTGGGTTAAAATAACCCACGGTAAGTGCCAAATTTGAATTCAGATATGAAATGAAGCCAATTTAGTTATATTCTTTTTGTCTACAATTTAATGGTTGGTTGCGTTAAAACGAACAGAGACAACTATCCTGGAATATGCTTTTGAACAAAAGAAAAAAAAACTGGAATTCAAATTTAACCCCTGGCCCGGGTTAGCGCTAATTGGTCTTCGAACAACTGGGACCAGAACTGTCGCGCAGGCGTTCCTGTTACTCGCGAGTGAGCGAGACAAACGTGCGAGGAAAAAGACGAAAAGTGAAAAAGGATCCCTCCTTTTTCGTCTACTTCGTGGACCTTCGTAAGAGGCAAATCGAAATTGTCGTCTTCAGAAACTCTAAGAAGAATGGGTTCCGTGACGTCTGGGATGGTTTGGGTGGAGCAGCCTTAGTTATGATTGGTCGACTGTATCCAAGGCAACCATTGACCAATCATAGCTAACACTTGTCCAACCAAATGATCCCAAAAATCTTTCCGTCGTATGTTTCTACCCATTTCCCTCGATAGTTTGTGGAATGGCGAATGATGAAGGCTGAAGAAGGGCATTCGCTCAAACGACAGAGTTAGTTCACTAAAGCGACTGAAAGTTCCAACACTGACCAACATCAATTTTCTCCCAACATTATCCATATGTCATTTTGAGGTAAGGTTACGAGAATACGCCTCTTTAGCTTGTATGTTTTGTTTTCCCAATAGAGGTCCCAGGGGAACACGACCCTTTGTCTTTNACTGTGAACAGTCCATCAAGGCTGGGTTGTTCAAAGCTGGGTTAAAATAACCCACGGTAAGTGCCAAATTTGAATTCAGATATGAAATGAAGCCAATTTAGTTATATTCTTTTTGTCTACAATTTAATGGTTGGTTGCGTTAAAACGAACAGAGACAACTATCCTGGAATATGCTTTTGAACAAAAGAAAAAAAAACTGGAATTCAAATTTAACCCCTGGCCCGGGTTAGCGCTAATTGGTCTTCGAACAACTGGGACCAGAACTGTCGCGCAGGCGTTCCTGTTACTCGCGAGTGAGCGAGACAAACGTGCGAGGAAAAAGACGAAAAGTGAAAAAGGATCCCTCCTTTTTCGTCTACTTCGTGGACCTTCGTAAGAGGCAAATCGAAATTGTCGTCTTCAGAAACTCTAAGAAGAATGGGTTCCGTGACGTCTGGGATGGTTTGGGTGGAGCAGCCTTAGTTATGATTGGTCGACTGTATCCAAGGCAACCATTGACCAATCATAGCTAACACTTGTCCAACCAAATGATCCCAAAAATCTTTCCGTCGTATGTTTCTACCCATTTCCCTCGATAGTTTGTGGAATGGCGAATGATGAAGGCTGAAGAAGGGCATTCGCTCAAACGACAGAGTTAGTTCACTAAAGCGACTGAAAGTTCCAACACTGACCAACATCAATTTTCTCCCAACATTATCCATATGTCATTTTGAGGTAAGGTTACGAGAATACGCCTCTTTAGCTTGTATGTTTTGTTTTCCCAATAGAGGTCCCAGGGGAACACGACCCTTTGTCTTTCCATAAATTATGCGCAGATATGCACGTGAATAAAACGAAATTTGAAAGAAACAGTTCTCTAGAGTTTTATCACATGACCTGTATTGGGAAAACAGAACATACAAGCTACGACGACGACGGCCACGGCAGCGAAAACGCCACTTTTAAAATGAATTTCGAATGAATTTCGAATGAATTAGCGTTTTTTAAACTTTATCGCGTTCATTCTAATTCGCTGAAAATGTCTAATTTAGGGAAATTTTCTTCGAGTTGATTTCTTGGGGACCGCACGCAGGTTTAGAAAGA